GATATCTCGAATGTATATTATGACTAGTCAAAATAACATTGTAGATATCTTCAATGCATATAATGACTAGTCATAATCACATTGTAGATATCTTAATTCCAATTACGACGAGTCAAAATTGCAGAATAGATATCTGGAATTGGAATTTTGACTAGTCAAAACTAAATTATGATTAGTACAGCAAGGAGTATTTAATGCTAAAACGGCTTGCCATAGTGGAATTGCATTCTTACTAGTAAGAATTGCATTGTAGAGCTCTCTTTTCAGCACGACCTCATTATGATAATTGCGCCTCATGCATATTCATAAAACGGGTGACTATCTGTCCCGATAGCCTTGTGGGCAGTCCGTCGATAACACCGTTGCGCTACGGGTATCCAGAGTTTGAGTCCCGGGTCGTGGACCCTTCTGATCCCGCACCCCTCCCCCCAATTCACTTATACCGTCCTATCGGAATAAAGGCAAAAATGCCAAAAATAAATCTTAAAAAAAGAAAATAGGGACTCAAGCAGCTTGTTCAGTCAAGCAGCTTTTAATGATGAATAGCAGCACTGATCGAGGCTCTAATGATCTATTAAGTATTATTATATATTGATTAAAGTCATTATAAAATGATTATGCTTTACAGAAGAAATATAGGTAGTCTGTGTAGCTACTGTAAGTTATTTTTAAAGGTGAATTCACACTTGCACAGAAAACATGCATATAAATGTATTCTCAGCAATATGTAATAGGTATTTTACTAGTAAGAATACAATTGTAGAGCTCTGTAACTAGATTTCTTACTAGTAAGAATTTAATTAGAGAGCTCTGTAATTGCATTTTTACTAGTGAGAGCTCTCTAATTTAATTCTTACTAGTAGCAATGCAATTGCAGAGCTCTCTAATTCAATTGTTACTAGTAAGAATTAAATCAGAGCTCTACAATTCAATTCTTAGTTAGAACTAGTAAGAGAGCTCTCTTATTGTATTTATAACTAGTTAAAATAGATTTAGAGAGCTCTCTAATTGGCATTGTTACTAGTAAGAATTGAATTGTTACTAGTTAAGCTAAAACAGCATGTCATATAGTCTCACTGACTGCACATTCTAATATGTTCTTTTTCTCCTCATGTGCATTTGTAGGGTTTTGGGATGATGTTGATGGAGGAGGCCGAGAGGATAGCCAGGGATGAGCATGGCTCGAGCAAATTGGCTGTTATCTCAGGTATCAAAAATATTCTCTGCGTTAACGGAATGGCACATTCATTTTGTTGGTTCTTCTCTTGCCCTCGCTTGAAAAGAATGAATATGAAATTTTGACATGCACCTCCCCAAATCAGCTGCAGGATGGAGATAACAGCAATTGGAAAATAAATGAAAATCTGTATTCATATTATTCCGGCTCTGACGCTTTAATGCGAGTGCCTGATAACTTTTGTACTCGCATGTCTGACAAAGAAAGAAAACAACAACAGTAGAATATATTGGAAGTACAGTGGGGTTTTCTTGCTCTAGGTATCTTGAATCTGCCTGGCAACATTAGCTAAAATTATGGTTTCTTTCAAATGACTAAAAATGGTGAAGTTCTTTTTCCTTCAATCAGAGCAAATTCATTAATATCAAGATATACATTGATATTACAATTTAAAATAACTGTTTTCTGTTTTAATTTTTTTTAAATGTTATTCATGTGATGACAAAGCTAAATTTTCTGCAGCTATTCCTCCAGTATTCAGTGTCACATGAGTCTTCAGAAATTATTCTAATATGCTGATTTGGTGCTGAAGAGACATTTCATACTATTGTCAGTGTTGAAAACAGTCTGGTGCTGCTTAATATTTTTGTGGAAACCATGAAACATTTTTGTGGAAAACATGATACAATTATTTGATGAATATAAAGGTCAAAATGACCGCATCTTTTAAAATATAAGTATTTTGTAACATTATAAAAGTCTTTATTGTTACTTTTGATAAATAGAATTTGTAATTTTCTCAAATTAGCATGTTTTTTTTCCAAATTACATGCCTCCATTAGAGCATGTAACATTGAAAGATTTTTTTCTACTCTCTCTGTAAATTCGAATTTTTGGTCATTGTTCATGTTTTATGTTGGGTTCAGGTGTTGGAACAAGGAATTACTACAGAAAAATGGGTTATGAACTGGAGGGGCCGTATATGTTGAAGAACCTTTACTGAAGCAGAGAGGAATTCAAACCAAGATGTATCATATTCCCTGGAGAAAATCATCTGACATGCAGGACACCAAATTTAAGGGGATCTTTACACCCCACCTATAATTGGACTGGACATGAGGATTACAGAGAGCGTGTGTGAGTGGTCATCACAAAGCAAACTGCACTATCCTGTTACATGTCAGCCAAAGAGAGTATTCTGTACTTCTCTTATGAAGACCATAATGCAAAGTATCAGTGCTTGTTAGAAAGGTACACCATTCTCCTTTGGTCTTAGCTTCCATTTTAAAGATTTCTCTCTCCAGTATACTTGCCAGTGCATTTACTTCTCTGGGAAAACACTCTTTTTTTTATCACATTATTTTTGGCTTCTACTGACAACATTGGACATAATGGTGGGAAAAAAACTGCAGAGGCTCTGTTATCCTGCGCACATTTTTCATGTGGATTTGGGAGGGGAAACTAATTTATTCTTGCTGCTTGGCACATTTGATTAATTCACCATTTTTCCTGCTCTGTTCATTTTAAAGATGGATTAATTGCATTTTCATGTTTTCTTGGCTTTGCATGAAAAGTGTTCATCTGGTTATTTTTTTATTGATAATAAAAGATATTTATCCAGGATTTCAGTTATCATCACATGATTGCACATTGTCATAAATCATATGTTGGCAAGAAGGCAAGCGATTTGGATGGAGTTGAAGAGACATAATACAGCCATCACTGAACATTCAAAGGAATTAATGGGTAAGAAATCATCCGCGGCGGTCTCCTGTCCAGCTCAGAAATGAAAAACCATTGCCCCTATTTTTGACAATGAAAAGTTCACTGGAACTACTCTGCTGCGTTTCAGTGTCTTGTCACCACACCACCAATTTCTGAGAAATGTCGTCCGGCGTGGCGAGAGCTGTCCTCCGCAGGAAACCTCATGATATGTCTGCTGATGGGTTTTTACTGCTTCATTTGACATCGCAATACCAGATTATATCGCTATCTCTGTCTGTGAGTCAAGCTGTCAGGCGAATGATGACCGACCACCCTTTAAAGCTAAGCTCAGTCAGATCACACTTGTAAGAGGTTTGTCATCAGAGAAATGGCTTCCAATAAATGGCAAGATGTTGTTTTGCCACCACTCCACAATAAAGTGATGATTTAACAATTGTTGATCTCGTAATTTCCCGGTACAGACCCTTTGTTATGACCTTAATGGCTTGATAATCTCACAGTTAAAACGATGTATCCTACACACCAATCAGCAGCTTTCACTAAATCTCAGGAAGTTTTAACTAGACAATCCCATAATTGATTTTGCTAATTACACTGGCTCGTAATGGTCATTATTCCTCTTAAGTCTTACCAAAGCAGAATTAATACTGATGTAGCCAAGATTGCTGTTTAGATAATGTGCATATTTCGCCACCGAGGTCAAGATGAACCATTTCATTTGCAAACCAGCGAAGCGTGTGGAAAAGGGCAAAGTGTCTCTAGAGATGGAAATGTCACAGATGAGATCCACTTAGAAGAATTCACAGACGCTTTATGTTATTGCCGGTGAGGCTATAAGGTTTCGAAACCCTTTAACACTCTTGAAAGTCATTAATATTCAACGTTGGCATTATTATTGGCCTTCAACTCAACACTGCAGTTAACTGCTCTTTGTCTTGATCATAAAGATCTGTTCAAAAAAATAAGATGATTTACTCTTACAGAAGGTTTTTCATTTTCTAGACCCAAGAACTATTGAACACAAATACTTCAAATCCAGCCAAATATAATTTATATCCATCACAAAGAGGGATTTTAATTTCCTTTGGAAGATGGAGCACTTTCCCCACCCAGAAAACCATTTGAAGCATCCTGTAAAGAAAAAAACATCTACAAGACTGGCCCCTAAAGCTGCAGAAATCATGACAGTGCTGTTGGCGGAAAACAGGCGATCTTGAATGATTGATACATGTGCCATTTTTCACAGATACACATTAGGGGAAACTAAATTATTTCACCTCCAATCTAGATGTTGAACATGCGCCACCAGTTGTGAAACTTCAAAGGACTTTCTATAATTAGAATCGCTTCAAGGTGGCGATTTGTGGTGTGACCGTCCTGAATGCTCAGTTTCTTATGTCTTGCTGCTTCTGACAACACAACTATAACTGATTATGATTGGCTATCCTTATAAGCATGAAGGCTGCGTTACAAATGATACAGATAAAGGAAGTTTTGACAGGGAAAATATGTTTTTCCACACAATAATGAATTGTTTCCCTTGTTTTATATTGTTCTGTAGTTGACTTCTCAAAGACAAAATTACATTTAAAAATTACATAATTTAAAACACCACAAAACAGAGCAAAAACTGAGTTATACTATTAGAGCTGCATGATACTGAAGAATGCAATATGATATTGCTTTAAGTGTGTAAAATCTATTAAAATAACATTTAAAAACTAAAATGATATAACATAACCAACATACATGTTTCAAGATCTGGGGGGGGGGGGGGGGGGAGCTGTCACTACAGCTTCTGAAAGTGAACTGCAGTGTTTGCTGTAGAATTACATAAAAAAATCAGTTTAACATCAATGTAAACAAAAAACTAAATAACTAGCGATTTGTTCATTTGGGATGTATATATATATATATACACACACATATATATATAGTGTGCAGCACTATAAACTACTAGTACAATTCATAAAGTATATGGTAACAGGCACAGCACTCAAAAACTCAAGGCAAATAAAAAATCCATTTACTTTTTAAACTTGATTTCCAACTAGATGAACAGTATCACTGTTTGATAACTTTTTTGGCTTCATCTTCAAGTTTTTCAGTGTATAAAGGAGACTGGTTGTTAGTATGCAGCTCTTGAGATCAGTGCACCTCTATGGCACACCGAACCCTTTTCTCCAGCTGGTCTGCTGTGGGCCGGGTATCAGGATCAGAATCTAGCATGTCCATCAGCAGCTCGCACATAGCAGGGTTTGGAGGCGGCGGCAGTGGTGGAGCACGTCTTGCCCTCATAGGGATGATTAACTGCAGGTCGGGATTCTGACAGAGTGCCTCACCTAACGGGATGAGCCAGCGGCCTCGCATTACATATGCGCCTAGAACAGCACAGAATAAACAGGAAACAGATGTTATGCTTAATCAATTTTCAAGTATTATATGAAACAGGTCCTTCATTCATTTCTGTCTAAGGAGTTTCGTTTGATCTCCCAAATGGTGCATTTGAATTTGCACTATTCATTATAGTTCAACAACACTAAAAAGCAGCAATAAAAACAATCCAATGCATTTCTTCAAAGCACACGCCTAGCACAAACTCATTATTATTCACAGAACTACAAGGCAAACCCACCACAGAGAGGTTAATGGGTGGAAGGATGTTAATTGCCCTTATATAAATAAGCTGCAACATTTGACCTCTTTGTACGCCTGCTAGCAGTGCAGAAAGTCACTGGGTTCGAGTAATTACTGAGGACTGCCCGAATAGCTTATGCACTCCATCCAAAACCTGTGTCCTCATACCACTTTAGTTTATCTCAGCTATTACGCATTAAGATAATGGACTACTATGTCAAGCGCTCAACAACAAAGCTTTCACAGCGATCTAAAGTGGTCTGCATGAGGCAACCAGTCAGAGGAGTGACCGAAATAGCCACCTGCCTGCCAATGCTAGTGAAGAGAGGCTCTGAAAATTGTGAGAATTTCTATTCCTCTTCCTAATTTTATTCCTATTTCTGTGAAGTAGCTGTGACAATCACAAGATGGTGGGTTTTATATTAATCCTCATACCCATCATAAGACCTCATTTACTGCATATACAAGTTCCTATTTAATTTTAATCATAACAATACATGCATCATGGACCTAGATTGATTAAATAACAAAGACAAAAATATTAAAAACATTAAATGGGTAGAGCTAAATGAGCCAAAGTATCCCCCCCCCAACTAACCCAGTTGCTCTTGATTGGTGCCATCCTCTAGGAAAGTGATTCTCTCCAGCACGGCCCAGAAAAGCACACCCAGAGAGAAGATGTCAGCCTGGGCTGTATAACTACGACCTGCCCAAACTTCTGGAGCCATATAGAAGTCTGAGCCACAGGTAGAGGAAAGAGCCAGTCTACTTTGGACACCATCTGTAGGATTGTCCACCATCTTACTGAGGCCAAAGTCTGCTACCTGTAAGACATGAGGTGGAAGTTAACAGTGTTTATAACTAGAACCATCTTTCACATCTGGGGTGTAAAACATAATTACCACAATTGTTTAATGTATGCATTTATATTAATTTAATAACCATTAAAATTATTTAGAATCATTTAATTTAGAAGAATATTTGTTTAGTAAAATATTTTAATTATAGAACATTTAGAAATAAGATATGTAAAATAATTGTCTACAAAACCATTTATAGCCATTCAAGTCATTTCTTAATCTCTGCATAGGACAGTTTCACTGAATGAGGGACTCAGTGCCTCGGGCCATTTACGTTTTCTTCAAAAAATGTTAACATCTAGTCTAATATTATTGACAAAACCTACTTTTTTTTTTTACTGCAGTAAAGCCCCAGATATCCATGCATTGGAAAATTTTTGAAAATACAAAATCACTTTTAACAACTATAGATAACTCTAATTCTAGATAAGCCCAGCAATCACACAACTTATCTACTGTCCACTTTGTGCGATGCCTAATATTTGACTGGTAGACATTTACAGCACAATGGATCTGTCGCTTCAAAGCACACTACATTGATTGTCTCTACATGCAATGAAACCTAAAAAAAACGAATTATTTGAAACTTTAGAAGAAGAATGGATTTTAAGACAATCCACTTCAAACTTTAACTGTAAGGTGATTGTTTTGCTAGTCTCTGTATTGATTAATAGAATAGGCTCAAAAGGTTCAGGCACATTGTGTGATTATACCAAAAAAATTTTTTTGGGGAAAAAGCAAAACAAAACACCAGCAATAATCCCAATGCATTTTCTTATCATCCTTCCATCTCATAAAATGTTCTCTGGGCACTCTAAACCGTGAACTTTTGAAACATACAACTGTCGATTTATATATTTTTATTCCTTATTTACTTGTTCTATTTTTTATTATCTGTGTTTTTTGTTCTGTCACTGTCATTCTGTTACACTGTGGAAGCTTCTGTCACGAAAAACAAATTCCTCGTATGTGTAAACATACCTGGCAATAAAGCTCATTCTGATTCTGATTCATTCTGAATTTTATGTATTTTCTGTATTTTATGTTGTAGGGCAACACCAAAGCTTTTGTCTATCATGCAAATACAAGTTCAAAAGTACTTTTGTAATGCTTTGTTATTCATCACAGCCAAGTTATAAGTGGAACAATTTCCATGCCTCTGGACTAATAAAAATTCAATAAAAACAGAAAGGGGGAAAAGAAAGACAATGTGGCCCTATAAGCAGTATAGACCATTTCAAAAGCAACATGAAAGCTTGTAAAAATGCAAATCGGGCTCATGACAACTGCACTTAGTTTGACTTAGGGCTGGACAATAATTCAATATCAATATGTATCGCGATATAATTTTTTTCAATAACGGTGATATGATTTTTAAACATTTCCGAGATTTCGATATACATTACCAGTTGTATCACTCTAAAAGCGCCTCCTGCTGGCAGAGAATGAGTTTTCATTTTAAATAAGCCCCCGTAAATGGCGCATCATGCACGTGAGGTTATCTGACGGAGAGACGCAAAGCAGTTTAAAGCAGAGTCCTGCACGGGTGCTGTTAGGTAAACCTGCATCTGCAGTAGCTACACAACAGAACACCCGACCCGTTATCCGACAGCAGCCAGCACCAGTTTAATTCTGTACCCGACCCGCGACCTGAACCGCACCCGCATTAAATAGGCTACTGCATCAGTAAGGCAAAATTATTCATTTTCTCATGTGACACAAGCAATCACACCAAAATAGGCATTTTAAGTTGATGTTTTGAAGAGAAATAGACAAGCAGTGCAACAGAGGAATGATAAGAACGCGCATCCTTCCTGTATAAAATACAGACTTTTGCCTACATCTTGTGAACAATCTGCCAGGCTGTTTTGAACAAATGTGCATAAACTACATACTTAAATCTTCATAAATGAAAAGAACATATTTAGATATGACTTTACTGTTAAGTGCTGTTACTGTTGTCTCCCTTAAACTATGCAGTGCTGATTATCAATATTTAAAACCGTTGAGTAATTTTTTTTTTCAGGATTCTTTGATGAATAGAAAGATCCAAAGATCAGCATTTATCTGAAATAAAAAGCTTTTGTAACATTATACACTATTCCATTCAGTATCATTTTTATTAATTTTTTGGGAAAGAAATTATAGAAATTAATACTTTTATTTAGCAAGGATGCTTAAAATTGATGATAAAGGCATTTATAATGTTACAAAAGATTTCTATTTCAGATAAATAGTGTTCATATCGATATCGGAATTATATCGTATCGACCGAAATGAAGAAATATATTGTGATATCAATTTTGGCCATATCGTCCTGCCCTAGTTTGACTCCGAATACTCCATAAGCCATTAGCAATTTAACCAATATTATTGTTTCTTAGAAGTACATGCTTGTAACATTACAGTAAAAGAATAATCTTTGATATAAAAATATATATTTAGATTGCATCCTTTTTGTACCTTCATGACCGGTCCTGTTTTAGTAAGACAGACAAGAACATTATCTGGCTTTATATCACGGTGCACTATTCTATGTCCATGCAAGAACGCAATGGCACTGCCGAGTTGCTGAACCACTGCATCGTTGCACTCAGCATCCGGCGGCCTGGATAGGATGTACTGGCTCAAATCCCCTCCTTCGCAGTACTCCATCACCAACCAAAGGGCAAAGCAGCGCCTGGGAACCTCCTCTGTGGGCATCAGCCTCCTCCTCGACCTGGAGGGATTCCTCAGTTGGGTTTTGGAGTCTTTGTCCACCACTCTCCCTTTGAGAGCACTCTCCACCAAATCCAAAGGCAGCCTCCCTGATCTCAGGGGCTGCAGTGTTCTAGGTCCAGTCTGTAAGAGGCAGTTGTATAGAGCGATGACATTATGGTGGTTTCGTGCGGTGATTCTCATAGCCCAGAGTTCCTGCAGGTAGAGCTCTATACTCTCTGGGCTACAACATGGCAGACGTTTAATGGCCACTGTGTCGCCCCTCTCGCCCCACCAGCCAGTCTCCGTCACACATCCCTTGAAAACCACTCCATAGCTGCCCCGTCCCACTTCCTGCTGCAAAGTGTAGATATCATCCATCCTAGCAGCCTTTGTTGTTCACTGCATCAAATGCAAGATTCACTGCTGTTCTCAGGTGTTGAGTGTTTTATTTCATTGTTCTGATATTACAAGCAAAGTAAAATAAAATTAGTTACAATAACTTCAAAAAGTTATATATGTATCTGTATGTAGTTACATATAAATGTATGCATGCATATATATGCATCTCTCTCTCTCACACACACACTTACTTTTGGGAAACGCAGCCCTGTTTGAATGCACTGTCAGAAGTGAGTAAACGCTCTCTGTGATGGATTGGTTCTGTCTTGCAACATTTGTGTGTGTTCAGATGAGCAGGAAAATAATGATATCCTACACAATTACTTGCGAACAAAGGTTATTCGCCCAATTTAATGCATTTGTACGCATTATTATTATTATTTTAAATAAACAAAATCACTGGTAAATAAAACACACCTGAGTATCGATACTTTCGATACTCGCGTCAATATCGATACTTAGGATCGATATGCCCATCCCTATCACTCACTCACACATACATATATATATATATACATGCAGTTTAAGCCCTTTAACTGGACAACACAGTTAGTGTATACAGTTCTTATTAATAATACAGGATTACATTACTTGTCTTATTATAGAAATATTCATCTTCCTTTACAATAACAGACAGACTGATAGATACAATCAAATTATTAAACTACTTAAGCATTTCCACTCCTGTTGCTTTTTGTCAATAATCTGAATAAACTTACCCATGAAATCAATGCAAACGGGAAATGTCGTTACTAAAAAGTATTTTTGTTTTTTTGGTCCAAGTATAATTAATATATAAACGTATCAGCAGCGTACGATCTCAAAACACCCACAATACAATTTAAACACAAACAACATTTCCGTAATAACACTTCCGTATTTTTTTAGATCTTCGCGCGTCTTGTGCTGTTCTGCGTTTTCATTGGCCAATACCTTTGCAGATGACCGCAGTCACCAATAAGATACGAGAACGTCACAACACCTATTCAAAAGTGACCAGTGAAATGCTACCAACTCTTTTCAGCAAGTCTCGTGTCTTTTTAAAGGGAGTTCGAAGTTTTTGAAAACGTACTTAATAAAAACGTAATTAATAGTTATGTAACATTATGTTTATGACATAATGTTTGGTTTGGTTAGGTTAATTATTACAGCACGACTGCGACTAATAGTTATGAGGTAAAAACTCATTACACTAATGTGCTTAAAACCCAATTGAATAATATTTTGGTGAACTCAGTTTTCCAAACATAAGATTCAGCATAATAATTTTTTTTGGCTTAGCTGTTGGGCAAACAAGTGAGCACAAAAAACACGCTTACTTTAAGACAAGACAGCAATGTAATGAAGGTAGGTAGATTTAACTAAATGGTTGAACCGTGCACTCAGAATAGTTTACTTAAAAATCGCGTTGGGGCAAGTTGTCAAGTATGCTTTAAATGTTGTACATTTATACAATTTGTTAGTCAAAACAATTACATGACATTTCACTACATTTCCTTTTACAATGTTGCTTTTTAGATTTACCTGAAAAGCTTGTAATATGCAGGTTCCATTGTGACAACTTACCCCATACTGGGTATATTGTGACAAAAGGTAGAAGCTTTGAAGCTGTTTTTAACAACTAGCCCTGGTTACCCCTATGTACTTGATGTGTTAGTGGGAACGATTATCCAACTTTAAAAGTGGGATTAAACTGTTATTTTGTAGCAATTTTAGGTTAAAAGCACTAAAATCCCCCATAAGAATCTAAGTCTATTCCAACTTTTAAAATGTGATAAAACCATTGACACAAGGTGGCCCTTTAATGCCTGCCTAAAGATACCTAAATGTCAGACACAGATAAGGAAACCTCCATGATAACCCAAGAACATCTCCTGACTGTCTGACCAGGCTGTCACGCCCACATTCTCACATTACATAAAATACTCAACCAATTATTTTCTTCTTATTTTACTTCTCTGCTAACTATAGCAGCTGCAGCACCTATGTCTTACCAAATAATTTCTCATTCAGTCAGTGTCCTGAGAAAAATCCCAGCTCAGTTTTTGTGTGCTAAGTTTCCTAGTCCTTTCAGAACTAGTTCATTTTGTCTTAAGTTGTTCAAATAAATGGATAATATGTGGGAAAAGTTTTTTCCCCCATAGCTTTGATTGAAAGATCCTTCAACATTGGATCTCTCTCATCCACAGGCTTTGTATTTCTCTTCTCTTTTTTTATATTGAGTCATGTCTTAGGGTTATTCAGCTGAAATCAATTAAGTGTCTCGTATTAATAGTCATTGGAAATTATTGCCAAGGGCTTCCCATAAAACATAGTGGTGTCTCACACAGGGATGTGGACATGCCTCAGTGCTCTTCATTGCCTCATATAACAATAAAACTTTGCCCTAGAATGATGAAGGGGATGAAACAACACTGACCAGAGAGGTCCCCAATCATTCTGCATCACGGAGGTGAATAAGCCCACTCGTATAATTGCATATCTTGCGTAGAACTGACTTCAATTTTACTCCGAGGTGGTATCTCACCGCAATGTATTCAGCTGCTGGTTCTGTGATTCAGCCACTGCTGTAATATGATGTGGCACAGAATCTGATGAGTTCCTTTGTAGCGGCATGGCGCATTTCTGTTTGTCTGTGTATAATATCTAATTCCAGACTTACTGCATGGAACAGTATGCAAATGCATGGGACAGGGACTCAGGTGATGGGTTATTTTGGTTGTGTATGATTTAGGAACAAGTTATCAAAGACTGAAAATTGGACGCATCACATTAATAATTGAAATGCTTATTGGTTCATTTCCTGAGTGGCACAATGCATGACATGCTTTTTTAAATCACTATGTGCATTTAGAGATTAATTACAAATCAGGATTTGTGTTTATTTTTGCATCTAATCCATGTTATTTAACAGTATCTGAAATTACATGATTAGGGAGATCAAAGCAAGCTATTGTAAATTAATGGGTGCTCTTAATCAGACCTATATTAGCTGCTGGTCGTACCCAAATGAGTTTATTTTTCAACAGGCTTTTCCTAATTCTGAACCACTTACAATTATATATGCCCATTCGAAGTAATCATGAGCTAGAACACAATGTTACAGTATTTCAATTTTTTTTGATTGTTTGCATACTTATATATGCTCATTGTATAAGACTCCAGCATCCCTGCTGTTAAGACCAGGTCCAAACTTGTTTATGCTAGTTTGGTGCTGTTCTACCTCGAACTTGAAGTTAGCAAACCGATTTGAATTCCAATTCGAATTAAATCATATTTAATAAATGAAATAAATTTCGTTATTAACCTTTTTCTTTCATTCATACTTCCATTTCAATTCAGCTTCATGTGGGGTGTTGCAATTCTATTAAATTCCAATACAAATTGCAACTCATACTGAGAAGGAACCAATTGTGTGTTTTAAGGCTGAAATATGACCTCAGTTTGACCTAAAAACAAGTGTATTTCATTTAAATGCTGCATTCAATTCAAGTTTATTTGTATAGCGCTTTTTACGATACAAATCGTTGCAAAGCAACTTTACAGAAAATTAAGTTTCTACAATATTTAGTAGCTTATCAGTGGTAACTGTCAGTTTATGTACATATGGCAGAAATGTACGGGAAAAAAAAAATCAAACAGACGATGAACACTATTAACAGCAATTATTATATGATGCAATCAAACTTATAGCAAAATTTGGTAGTTCTGTATGTTGTTTCAACGTTGGCATCTTCTCAGGGGTTTGCATCATCTCTTCTCAGGTGTTCTGGATCCAGACTGAAGCTTGTGTAAATCCTAGTTAGGCAAAAACAGAGAAACAAATAGAGACCTAATTAGTGTAGCTGTTGTTCCAACCAAGTAAAATTAATTTGTTTAACCCAAGCTAAAGAATAATATTGTGCATTTGATCAGATATAACTGCAGTCCAAGATTATGAGATGCATTACATTTACATTTAATCATTTATCAGACCAACGAGAGAACAACAGTATACAAGTGCCATGACAAGTCTCAGATAGTCTAGCACAGTACACGTAGCTAGGTTATTTTTATTTTTATATTTTTTTTATTAAATAATAGAATAGAACAGGTCAGTGCTAGTATTAGTTGGTCAGGTGCTGGCGAAAAAGATGTGTCTTTAGATGTTTTTTGAAAATGGCTAAAGACTCGGGAGGTCATTCCACCAGCTTGGCACAGTCCAGGATAAGGTCAGTGGGAGTGATTTTGTGCCTCTTTGGGATGGCACCACAAGGCGCCGTTCACTTGCAGAACGCAAGCTTCTGGAGGGTGCATAAGTTTGAACTAGTGAATTTAGGTATATTGGTGCAGCGCCAGTGGTTGTCTTGTAGGCAAGCATCAGTACCTTGAATTTGATGCGAGCGGCTACTGGTAGCCAGTGTAACCTGATGAGGAGAGGAATAACGTGAGCTTTTTTGGCTCATTGAAGACCACTCTCGCTGCTGCATTCTGGATCAGTTGCAGAGGTTTGATAGTGCATGCGGGAAGGCCCGCCAAGAGAGCATTACAATAGTCCAGTCTGGAGAGAACAAGAGCTTGGACAAGAAGTTGTGTGGCTTGCTCTGACAGGAAGGGTCTAATCTTCCTAATGTTGTAGAAGGCAAATCTGCAGGACCGGGCTGTTGTAGCAATGTGGTCTGTGAAGCTTAGACCACTGACCTGTGAAGCTTTTGGCCAGGCATTATTTGAATGCCTTGCCAAAGAGAGGAGTCTTTAATCTAGATTTAAACAGAGAGAGTGTGTCTGTACCCCGAACGTAATCAAGAAGGCTATTCCAGAGTTTGGGCACCAAATGCAAAAAAGCTGTGCATTACAATAGTGCAGTCTAGAGGTCTTGAATGGATGAACTAGCTTTTCTGCATCAGAAACAGGCAACATGTTTTGTAGCTTGGCAATGTTTCTAGAATGAATGCTGTTTTTGTAACATGGGAAATATGATTTTTGAAAGACAAGTTGCGGTCTAATATATCACCCAGATTTTTGACTGTAAAGGAAGTAACTGTACATCCGTCTTGTTGCAAATTGTAATCCAAGAGATTCTGTGTACCGTTTTTTGATCTAATAAGTAATATCTCTCTTATCCGAATTTAATAGGAGAAAATTATTGGTCATCCAATCTTTTACATTTTTAACACACTGCTAGCTTAGATCATTTTGATGTTTCATCTGGTCTCGTTGAGATATACAGGTGCATCTCAATAAATTAGAATGTCGTGTAAAAGTTCATTTATTTCAGTAATTCAACTCAAATTGTAAAACTCGTGTATTAAATAAATTCAAGGCACACAGACTGAAGTAGTTTAAGTCTTTGGTTCTTTTAATTGTGATGATTTTGGCTCACATTTCACAAAAACCCACCAATTCACTATCTCAACAAATTAGAATACTTTATAAGACCAATAAAAAAAACATTTTTAGTGAATTGTTGGCCTTCTGGAAAGTATGTTAATTTACTGTACATGTAATCAATACTTGGTTGGGCCTCCTTTTACATGAATTACTACATCAGTGTGGCGTGGCATGGAGACAATCAGCCTGTGGCACTGCTCAGGTGTAATGGGGGAGTCATCTCAATTATCACCAGTGTATATTGAAATTAGCAGAGGACCTAGGACAGATCCTTGTGGCACTCCATATTTTACTGGTGATAATTGAGATGACTCCCCATTTAAATAAACAAAATGGTAGCGATTGGAAAGGTAGGATCTAAACCATCTTAAAGCCTTCCCTTCAATACCTGTATAGTTTTGTAATCGATCTAGGAGTATGTCATGATCTATGGTGTCGAACATAGCACTAAGATCAAGCAAAACTAGCAACGAGATGCAGTCTTGGTCTGACGCAAGTCATTTGTAATTTTAACAAGTGCAGTTTCTGTGCTATGGTGGGGCCTGAAACCTGACTGAAATTCTTCATAGAGATCATTTTTTTGCAGGAAGGAGCACAATTGTGCAGACAACTTTCTTAAATTTTAGACATAAACGGAAGATTTGAAATGGGTCTGTAATTTGCCAGTTCACAAGGATCTAGTTGTGGTTTCTTAATAAGAGGCTTAATAACCGCCAGCTTGAATGGTTTTGGGACGTGACCTAAAGATAACGACGTGTTAATTATATTGAGAAGCGGTTCTGCTACAGGTAACAACTCTTTCAGTAATTTAGTGGGTACAGGATCTAACAGGCATGTTGTTGGTTTAGATGCAGCGAGAAGTTTATTTAGCTCTTCCTGTCCTGTAGTTGTAAAGCACTGCAGTTTATCTTTGGGTGCGATGAATGAAGCTTAAGTATTAGACGCTGTAGAATCTACATTTGCTATTGTATTTATGAATTTCTTCACTGATAAAATAGATAACATCAGAAAGTCATTACAATTAAACTGTGAGGGAATATTTAGATCGGGTGGCTTCTGGTTACTTGTTAATCTAGCCACTGTGCTAAATAAAAACCTTGGATTGTTTTGGTTATTTTCTATGAGTTTGTGGGTATGCTCGGCCCTGGCAGCTTTTAGAGCCTGTCTATAGCTGGACATACTGTTTTTCCACGCAATTCTAAAAACTTCCAAGTTAGTTTTTCTCCATTTGCTCTCAAGACTACGAGTTTCTTTCTTGAGAGAATGGGTATTACTGTTGTACCATGGCACAGTACGTTTTTCGATGGGGGCAACAGCTTCTAATGTATTAGAGAAGATAGTGCCCATGTTACTAGTCATTTTGTCTTGTTCATGTGTACTGATTGGTACACAGAGCAGTTGAGATAAATCAGGCAGGTTATTTGAAAATCTGTCTTTGGTGGCTGGAACAATAGTTCTGCCCGGACGATAACGCGGAGCCATATAGTTAATATTAGTAATACGCAGCATGCATGATACAAGGAAATGGTCAGTAACATCATCACTTTGAGGTACGATATCTATATCAGTTAGATGGATTCCATGTGATATCATTAAATCTAGCGTATGATTAAAACGATGAGTGGGCCCGGTGACGTTTTGCTTGACTCTAAAAGAGTTTATTAGGTCAGTAAACGCAAGTCCTAATGAATAATTTGTATTATCAACGTGAATGTTAAAATCTCCGACAATTAGCACTTTATCTATGGTAACCAATAGGTCTGAGAGGAAATCTGTATATGGCCCTGGTGGTCTATACACAGTAGACAGAGCAAGAGATACGATAGATTTCTTTTGAATATCTGACAGTGTAACATTAAGCATTAGTATTTTGAATGAGTTAAACCTGTATCCTGTCTTCTGAGTAACATTGAGAATATCACTATATATTGTTGCAACACCGCCGCCACGACCAGTCTGACGGGGCTCATGCTTATAACAGTAGCTTGGTGGACCAATATAATAATTTGGTTTTAGCCTGGTTTCAGTCAAGCAGAGTACATCAAAACTATTATCTGTGATCATTTCATTTACAATAACTGCTTTGGGTGTGAGTGATCTAATGTTTATGAGCCCAAATGCTAAAAATTGTTTTTGTTCATTTATTTAAAATTTTTCTGGTTTAATCACGATCAGATTATTTCTAGATCCTGCATTAAATGTATATTTTGACCTCCCTATTCGGGTAACAGACACAGTCTTAATAGATTGGACAGTGCAAGTACTGCTATCATTTAAGCAGGTAGAACAAAAGCCATCATAGCAGTTATTGGAGAATTGGCTTACTAGTCATATGGAGCGCAGCGTCCCGGAGATGTTGTCCGACAGGAGTTCCGCTCCTGCTGGGGTGCAGGCTATCAGCGCGAAAAAGCCTAGGACGCTCCCAGAAAAGATTCAAATTATTAACAAAGCGCAGTTTCTGTTCTTTACACCATGACAATAACCATTCATTTAAAACAAAAAGTCTACTGAACCTTTCGTTCTTGCAACTTGCATGAAAGCAAGTTATTTGCGTAGTTATGATTCACTATTCAACTATTTTCTGCATTAGTTTCCTAAATTACAAGTTAGTGTTCTCCTTATATTCTTGTTGGCACAATCCTGTCTTTCCTTTGCGGTGAATGTGAGGTCTCACGTCCACCGAGACTTCTTGTTGCCTCTGGGAGATTTTGTTTTTCTCCTGTATGCACCGCTCAACTGTAAATTGCATTTCGGGCTTAATTTGCAATTCACACTCCCAAGTCAGTGCTTAGCTTGTTAAAGGTGCATTATCTTTGTTCATCGGATAATTGATGGGAACCATGTTTGGACATATACAGTCAATATGCCATTGGATAAAACCAATGAATTTTTAGTCCATAACAAATTGAAAGATGTGTATTTTCAGCCCAGGTTATATTTTCTGGGGTGTGGAAAGAGGTGACGTTGGTAGTGTCTTGTACGTCAGCCTTGACTAAGGGTTGTATGGCTGTCCAGGTTGTGCGTAATACCATGCCTTGGTGTAGCCCCATCCACGGACACTGGGGGGGCTGAACCAGAGGAAGGGGTGTGCCGTTATAAGAGGGGAGAGAAAGGGAGCAGGCAAGCAGTTGAACAAACCTAGAAGCTGAAGATTGGACATAACCGCCACACCTCAAGACTGAAAGTGAGAGAGAGAGAGACGGAGAACAACCCATTATCGCAGGCGGCAGGTAAAACAAGGTGTCATGGTGATACCTCCTTTCTATTTTTGTATTGATTAATTCCACAGTGAAAGAACGCAGATTATACCAGTTTTATTGGGTCATTTGTTTTGTTTTTTTACTGATTTGACAAGTATTTTGTGATTACTCACTTTTTTGCTCATCTGTTAATACTAATATTTGTTTATGCAAAAATGACTGCAGTTGCCATCACAGTCATTGTTTTTCTTATAGCAGTGCGATTAGGCTAATATTTATGTGACGAGGTTCCTGGATGACGTTCTAATGATTAGTGCTGCTCTTCAAATAATCTTTTTTCCATTACTCATAGCTTTTCCGCATTAATCATCTTCATTGCTAGTTTTTTTTTTTTTTTTGCTTGTAAAGTTTTTTTGTTTGCAGATATCTGTCTTTATTATTATTATTCAATAATTAGTTTGTTAAATAAGTTACTTTTTCAAATTAAATGTTTCTGTGTAAGAATAGAATTTTTCTGAATTATGTTTGTTTTGGAGGTGTAGTGTAACAGACAAAATTATAAGTCTGCTTACAATTGATTAAAATAGCATATAATACTCTAGACAAAAGTAATAAATGTATTTCATTCAAAGCTTTGATCACAGAGACCTGTATACACTATTTGAAGTCATTGACGAGGGAAACACAGCGATTTTGTCTCTCCATTTACTACTAATATTTTTTGCAGCTGTAATTAAACTAAACGTAACACAATGTGTACACCGAGACTCCCTTTAATCAACTAGCACAGCATTTTGCACATAATGTTCCAATATTTCATGTTATTACAGCCATATCACAGCACAGAATAGCAACAAGTGCGCGATTCATTTATATGAGTGTTTCTTGCTTCTACAGGACAACAATTCTTTTACATTAGTAAATAACAATCACTAATAAAAAGACTGTATATTTATGTTGCATAGTTTAATAATTTACCCATAATCAAAGCATTTTTTTGTGAAGGCAAGGCACAAATATTAACTTACATTAACCCATCAGTATGTTGATTTTATTTAACAATTTTATTTATGGTTTATTGTTTAAGTATATTTTGTGTTTTATAAACAACATATCATATAACAATACAAAAAAGAATGATCAAATCATATTTAAATTAATATATATATCAAGCTAAAGCTGAATTTCAGATTTTTTTCATTTTTCCCCAAATTAAGGAGAATAATTACATATTTTTTATTTTATATTTAACTTTATTGATTTTCATATTCTGTATGAAGCACTTCATACTCTGCAAGAAGCAATTAAATCTCTTTTTAAGGCCTGCAAAATGTCTTCATAGATTCATATATGAAAATTTTACATACATTTGAAATCAATTTATGAAAAGTTTAAATAGGTCTTTGATTTTGCTTACATCTTTCGACCAAGGCAAAGTCAAGACATACACCGCATCTAAATAAATCTTCCAAATTAAACATTATGCATGCCATAATAAATTCATGCAACAATGCTCTATGAAATAAAAAAATGAAAGCTGCTAGTCCAATTTAGCGTAATTATTTAAAAACTTTGCACTGCATTAGGGAGACTAGTTTCCCTCAAATTAATTACCTGAGCCGTGTAAATAGATTTATTTTTTTATCCTAAAATCCATTCGAACAGAAGTGTTGCAAGCTTAATTATGTACATCTATCAGAGTTGTATTATTTTACACAAGCAAGAAAAAATCTATTAAATCAATTAATGCTCTCAATGGATTTCCAGAAGCTGACAAGATTTAAGCTTGAGCGACATTCAATAATTGCAATGAAAAAAAAACAACTGTACAGAATCGAGGAATCACTTGGATAGAACCAGTATAAGGTCAAAGCTGCCATATCTGGGGTTCACTTTTCATACTGTATTATGCATAATTGTGACACTTAGTTGTATTTTATTCCATCCTCATGATCTCAGCTGCTCCTGAACTTGGACTATATATGCACAGTGCCATACGATAGCCATCCTGAATACTGCTTAGTTCCTACATTCTTATGCTGTGGATTATATGCCATGCATAGAAATTTCATACTACATCTCTGCAGCTCATTGCGAGCATTATTATTCAAATACAACTTTTTCTGAAGCCGGAGTCATTTTGATTTGGAAATTGCAAACCCTGTGAAGAAATTGTGACTTTCCATGAGACAAACAGTCTATCCATCTGGCCATTTACTTTCACCACTGCTTTTGATTTAAATGATGGTGACAGTGGCATTTATTGCATTTTCTCCTCGCAATTGAAATATCATACCGATAGTCCTTCAAAAATAAAGAAACTTTTCACTCCTTCCCTCCATCTTTTTATGGTAAATTCTCTGCTCATTGTCATGGCCACGGGGAGGATAATGCAATGATTGCTGCTGTTCTGCCAGTGAAGAGGCAGAGTGTGTGGAGGGGACCATGATCATTTGCAACGGGACTGCAGACTCTAAGCCCTCTGGCAAACATTGTGCTCTCAATTAAAGTAACCATGCGAATCCCCCATTCCTCAATGGAAATGGTTATGACAATGAGAAGAGCCTAGATTATTTTGATACAATGCTATTACGAAGAACAAAAAAATTGCTAGATATAGCAAACAGATGAGCTATCATTTACCGAGTAATAAATCCGAGATGAAGAACCTTCGCATTCAGCGGATGATATTAATGTGAATGAGAAATGAGAGAGGTCATGGTCCTCCTTCCATCTGCTGTGGAACAAACAAACAAAAGTAATTGTTATTTGCTCATTCTTGACATGTCATGACACAGTTGACCAACAAAAATGATAATGGGAAATGCACAAAACAAAGCAGAAGAAAAGCAGACGTGATTTTCCAGAATCTGGTGGTGACTCAGTTCAAGCATTTGTGTTTCAGCCACAGCGCGGGAACAGAATGAGAATGGGCTTTGGTGTTTACCGTGGAGGTGATACGATCAGGTGGCTGTAGAGGGCGAGCAAACCGGTCAAATCAGATTAGTCGCATTCCCTTAGATTAGTCAAAGACTGCGGACAGATCATCTCTCTATGAGCATTACACTAGAACTCGCAGACATTCACTCAGAAATTCACCACCCAAAATATTGTCATCATTTACTCACCCTCATGTCAATCCAAACCTTTTTGTCTAAACCATTAAAGTCACTAGGGTTCAAAACAACACTGGAGCCTAACTTTAATTATGTGGACAAAACCCCTGATTAGGCTGTATTTACCCCTAACACCTGTATTTTATCAATTTTTTTTCTTGTTTTGTTCTATTGCTTTATTCTTTATCATTTATTTCTCATATTTTCCTTTTTTTATTCTATACTGGACAACACTTCAGCTCAACCTCTGTTTATTTTAAACATGCTCTATAAAATTAGTTGACTTGGCTAGAAAATGATAAATGAAAGCATCAGAGAGATATGTATATATATAAATAATATTACATAAAAATATTGCCTTTTTAATAATTTTTTGTTTTCAGCTTGATATTTAACTAAAAATTAGTAGCTTATTTTGAGAACTACAGGTATAGAGTAGATTCAGCATGAAAATGTTGTTATTTACTCACCCTCATTTTGTCCCAAATTTTTTGTCTAAAGTCACCAAAACAACACTGGACCCCGCTAACTTTCATTGCATGGACAAAAAACACTCAAGATAGAAAGTCATAGGGTTTGGAACAACATGTATCATATATCATTTAATAATTTTTGAAGGACATATATCCTATGAAATTAGGGTCAACAAGTACCTTATAGGTCAAACAGGACACGTCTGTCTCTCTGCTAAATAATACAGGCACATTATTAATATTGCAGATGACAGTTGCTGAGGTTGATGCTTTTGCACTTTCCCTCCAGCTGTTTTCAATTATCTCCGACAAATAAGAGATTGTAGCAGGAGATGATCGTAAAAAAAGTACCATCAAATCACTCTGCAAATTGAATTGTATTAATGATGCAAGGGATTTAATTGGTTGGAAAACTTTTTTTTTTTGTGTCGAGCCTTTTGGTAGTGCTCTGGATACCCATGTCCACGTGAGGGGCTAGAATTATACATACTCTTTGCTCACCGAGCAGAGACATCTCAAGATGCTTTTATTGTCAACTTTTCATCACTGCTCTGGAGTTCACCGAAAGATTTTTTGTTGGCTTTCATCAAAGAAAGCTTTTAGAGATGAGCGTACATGTGTGCGTTTCTCTCCTAATGCAGTCGTGACTAATGTGTGCTGGCGCAGTGCGGGAGTCAGAGTTTGATGGGAACTGCATTCCCGCTCTTTCTCTCCCGCACTCATTTCCTTCTCATTATGCCACAAACGCTAATTCAGACATTAATTAGGGCCTATGATGAGTTTCCTTAATGAACTTCATGAGGTGTGGGCAAAAAAAACAGATGGTGGCCTAGTGGCCTGCAAATTTTGACATGTTTGTGGCAGTAGTGGTGGTGATCCACATCATTACGTTATATTTCATGTGTGAAGGTTTAAAATATGTTTGATTCACTTTGAGGGCTCTGTCTTCATTGTGATTGTCATGAGGTGATCTGATCTCTAGAGGGATGTGTTTGGCTTTAGGGAAAACTGGACCCATTTCTGGGTTTATCTTTAAAATGCCTGATTATCAGACCTAATATCTGTGATTAGCAGGAATTTGTTTAGCTGACTGACAAGGCTGAAAAAAAGGGTTTCCTAAGCTCATTAGCTACAGATCAGATTGACAAATGTCTACATCCAAACCTGTGAACGTCCTTTTGAAATGTATTAAATGTGAAATGTACGAGATGTGCTTGGTAATATTTCATAATTGCTTTCATATTACTCCATTAGATCACAGATCATTACCAAATGTAAAAAAAAAAAAAATGAAAATGCAAGACTTTTTTCACTACAATTTTATGTTTTTGTCTGTTATGATCACCAAGACTGCATTTATTTGATGAAAAAAATATCTAAACAGTAATATTGTTAAATATTATAATTTAGAAATAACTGTTTTTGTATTTGAAATGGTAATTTATTCCTGTGATGGCAAAGCTGAGTTTTCAGCAGCCATTATTACAGTCTTCAGTGTGAAATTATCCTTCAGAAATCATTCAAATCAAAGTGATAATTAATAAGTATTATACAGTGTATTCAAAGTAAAAAAAAAAAAACATATATACTTTTTTAAATATAAAAAAAAAAAAAATAAAATAATAAAAATGTAGTGAGAAATGTTATAAAGTGTAAGAATCATCTCCACAGAGTCCCTGAAGTATTTTCCCCTGGTTGAAAACTCTGGTACTGGAGCTGTAAAATGAGTGTAAGAACTAAGCAAGATGAAGCCAAGGGGCAAAATTGATTCAAATTAGAATCCCTGATGTAGCTAAATTACATTTAGTATATTCCATTTAAAATTTGCTGTTACTTTATGAAACTAACCACGATAAATTTCTTAGAGCATCTGTAACAAAACATTCAGTTATTCTAGCCCCTGGTTTACAGCAAAAGGTTCATGTAATAAACTGAAAACTGGAGAATGATTACCAGTGAAACATTTTACCCTTCTACTCTTCTCTTTCCTTCATCAGATATCCCATTGGTTACTCCAAGTTCCTGCTTCAGTTGTTTGTTTTGGAGTGTGTTCTCTGAAGACATCATGAAAACCCCATTTTGGACCCTGCTGCTCTTATGCTTGTGCACCCCAGGTCACAGCGACTGCCAAGGGGACTGTTTAACCTGTGGACTCGTCCTACCTGAACACCAAGCGTTTAATACATTGGTAAGTGCCCCGTCTAACTAATATAAAACTACAATCTCCCTATTAATGTTCATGGTTTTGAAACGAAATGCTCAGCAAGCACATGGATATAAATCATAGATGTCTGTAAGATATCTTACAGCAAGAGTGGATGAGAAAACTGATTCAAATTAACTTTGTTAAAAGTTGGTCTCTGTCACAATAGTGGGTATAATCAAGTTGCTAATGATTGTTCAGACCAAACAGCTGTGACTGGGGTGATTGGGGTAATGTCTGCCCATAATTGGCTGCTGTGGTGCCGTCAGCTGCTGATGTTGTGGGTAGGAGTGATTGACACTTGGTGGAGGCGCTCTTGCCACAGCCAGATGGGTCCCTGTGGTCATGCTTTTGCTCTGTGACACCACAGTGGTGTCAGACTTTAACATTTCATCAACAGATTCATACATAGACTTATGAAGAGTGTATTCATGCTCCCTTAGTGTGAAGAACATTTTAAAAAATCGAAATAAATTTTTTCCACTATAAAGAACTTTTTGTGTAATGGATAGGTTCCATGGATGTTAAATTGATGGAGCCATCAATGCCAATAAAAGAACCTTTATTTTTAAAGGTATGCATGTGTGTGTTCCGAAACACATGTAGATCTGTATTTCAGAACTATCCCCATATAGTGTCTTCTATTTTCTGTCTGAATGTTTTTCATTTGCCATCAACATTTAATTCACAGTGGCCTATTAACTTACATGCATTCATCTTCTAGTTTCACTCGACTGTTTTAAGTCACTACACCATTTTTTATTTTCTCCCTATAAATGGGAGATAATAAAAAATTGCTCACCTGCTACATACCCGTTCTTAAAAAGGGCATTACATGAACATTTTGTGGACAGAACCTGCATTTGTCTACAGCTGAGGATTGCTGATCACATACAAAATGATGATTTTTATCCCATTCTATTCACTCAATTATCATATAATTTCTTGCACCAATGCCACATATCATTTCACATCTCAATGCACTGGTAAGACTGTTTGCATGGAGCATTGTGCCACAATTAATTTTTTATACTTAGCTCAAATCATTAATAAAACCATGATAAATCTCCAACAAAGGAAAAAAATGTATTCTCTTTTTGAATGGGACATTTTCTTCTATCCATTTTTATGAAGAACAAATTACACAAGAAACTAATGAAAATATAAATAAAACATACCAAAACAGGAATAAAGACATTTGATATCATTTTTTAAATATTTCCTTTTCAAATAAATTCTGTTCTGTCATTTGAACTTTATCAAATAATCCTGAAAAAACGTGTTTTCCACAAAATTATTAAGCAGCACAACTGTTTTCAACATTGATAATTATAAGAAATGTTTCTTAAGCACAAAAGCAGCATATTAACATGATTTCTGAAGGATCACGTGCCACTGAAAACTGAAGTAATGACTGCTGAAAATTCAGCTTTGCCAGCACAGGAATAAATGACATTTTAAAATATATTAAAATAAAAAGCAGTTATTTTAAATTGTAATAATATTTCACAATATTACTGTTTTTACTGTATTTTTGATAATATATCTATTGAGAGAGAGAGAAGAATAAAAATGGCAGTGTTGATTTTTTTTTTGAGTATGTTCGGTCCAATTGGATCGATATTTGTCCATTTTATTTAATAACATTTTCTATTATAAAAATATTTTGTCATGCAAAAAAAAAACCTCTGCTGTTTTGCAGGTATGTATTCTGGAATGTGAATCACAGGCAACACCTGCATTGACCTGGGATTTGTGTTACCAAGCAGCGGGTCTGAAACACCTTTCACCACTGTTACAGGAGGAGGAAACATCAAAGCGCTCTGATGATGATGAAGCGGAGCCTCTGGCCACAGTGAGCATAGAAAATGACAATGGTGTTGAGTATACTGAGGCTTTGGAGCGGTTTCGACACGCCGCGCAAGCGCTCCGCAGCCAGCAGCATTCAGAGGAGGAGAAACTCGAAATTTCATATGACCGAGACCTTGACCCTAGGACAGAGGAGGACCAGGATAGCGTAGGAGAAGAGAAGAGCGGTGAGGCAGCCGTAAGCATATCCAAGCGCTTTGGAGGCTTTATGAAAGGTCGTCACGGTTTCCGGAAGTTGGTGAGCTCCGGAAGGCCTTTGCAGAAACGCTACGGTGGCTTCATAGGGATAAGGAAATCTGCCCGCAAGTGGAACAACCAGAAGCGCGTGAGTCAGCTACTGAGGCAGTACCTGAGCTTGACGGGTCGCTCTGGGCGTTCAGGTCACACCAGCAACCTCTCCACCAGAATCTGAAGACAGAATGAAGTTTAGTTGGGCTTATATTACAGGCCTTGGTCTTTTCATTTACCTCAACTCAACTGCTCATCAGCCATCAGTAACTGTGAATGTCTATCATGCACCACAGCCCAGAACTAGATAAATCTGTGTTTAATCAAAGAAGAGGAATATTTTGAATAGCATTGTTTTTTTTATTATTATTGACATTTCCATGGTGCCGTTCCTGACATCAAAAACACCTCGATCAAGTCGTTAGGACAAATGTTGCTGATGAGAACTGATTGTTCATTTCAGAATCAAAACTCCTAGAATTAACCTTGAAGCATTATAAAAAATAAATAAAAAAAAGGCAGTGAAACTTGAATTGAGCACGTGAATCAGTTACAAATGAGAGCAGTGGGTTGTAGTGGAGTATTGGGTTTTCTTGTTCTGTTTGGTGATTACTGAGAGAAAAGCACTTTATATTTTAACCTTGCACACTGACTTGTGCTACGATTGGTTGTTTTGCACACATCCTTGATGTATAGAACTGTCTTAAAAATGACTAGAGCAATCAAACGAGTTATCAAAATCAATAAGGGAGTAAATGTAGTACAATACTGAAAGCACTATATTCTTTACGGGCTGTTTGACGGCTTTTAGACCAATGCTGCCGCCTAGAGCGTACACTCCGTATTTTTGAGGGTTATCACGTATAAAATCCTTACAATAGAGTGGGGGGAGCTATGACGTCACTTTGTAGGCGGATCGGCTGTTAGCATGACACTGGTTCCCTCGACAAAAGGCCTATAGGATTTTTTCATAGGCTTTTGGATTATCGCAAAAAAATAAATAAAAAAGCTCTGTGTTCAACCATAGTTCATGAAATTTACACGTGTTGTCCATCAAGATAATCTTCACAAATTAATATAACTTTGATGAATTTTGAAGCCTAAATAAAAGCGCCAGAACTTAAAAGCTAAACTTAGGCTATAAACGAACTACAGCACCATGGTCGCTCGCCTTTAGCGTCACCACCACCACACTTCCCACAACTTTTTCAAACTTAGTTTTAACGTGTTCAGTGAAAATGATTTACTTTGTATATGAATTTTAATCTATGCTACATTAACCTTTTCATATAAACTGGAATAAATACAAAACTAGAGCCAAACTAAAATGTTATTTTATCCTTGCTTCAAGAAAATCCTCAATCTATATGCTCCGTAACAGCTTCATGTGGCCGTTAACATTAAAATTTAATGTAGCTTTAAGCACTATGCATCGTTAAAGTTTCACTTTCACCGTGACTAAGCCATTAAATGTGGTGTTTACATGGAATAATCGTAATATGAGTTTACCTTACGAACCCAGAGTCTCCACATCAGCAGGAAAGCGATAAAAGGAACATCTTCCATCTGAAGACTTGTGTTGCATTTCAGGGCAAAGCAAAAGAACATAGTCGACCAACAATATAAAATGTGGGAAACTATTAATTGGTTATTCTACAATTAATTGTATTACAAATTATACTACGACTGGAAAATACTGTAAACTGTTTGGCGTGATGACGTTTAATGTCTCCGACAGCGCCTGTAGTCCCATTTAGCAACTTGTTAGCAACCGTCTTTTTCAAGAAACGTAACAGTTTAAAAAAATTACGAGTGGGGTGTAACTGGTGTGTTTTATGTCGTATAATAAAACGTGAAAGTATCTTGAGCCTGTGTGAACCACGCACCTTATTTTAGCGATTTAACCAAAATCCCATTCAAAAAACCCATTGACATGGAACCGGAAGTGCTAAAATGCTAACTTGCTTCCGGGTTTTTGCCTACAAAGTGGCATCATAGTTCCACCACTCTATTATCATTGAAAATAAACGACAACTTTAGGCTTTGTAAACAAAACAGCGGCTCATATAGTCGACCAACAATATAAAATGTGGGAAACTATTAATTGGTTATTCTACAATTAATTGTATTACAAATTATACTACGACTGGAAAATACTGTAAACTGTTTGGCGTGATGACGTTTAATGTCTCCGACAGCGCCTGTAGTCCCATTTAGCAACTTGTTAGCAACCGTCTTTTTCAAGAAACGTAACAGTTTAAAAAAATTACGAGTGGGGTGTAACTGGTGTGTTTTATGTCGTATAATAAAACGTGAAAGTATCTTGAGCCTGTGTGAACCACGCACCTTATTTTAGCGATTTAACCAAAATCCCATTCAAAAAACCCATTGACATGGAACCGGAAGTGCTAAAATGCTAACTTGCTTCCGGGTTTTTGCCTACAAAGTGGCATCATAGTTCCACCACTCTATTATCATTGAAAATAAACGACAACTTTAGGCTTTGTAAACAAAACAGCGGCCCATCGCATGTTAGCCAATCAGAATATGAGGGCGCGGCTCTCTGCCAATGGCGTGAGTTTGGGGGCGGGATTATACGGTGGCCGAGAAGTGCATAACAAATCACAATTCTGAAAACAAAATAAATTACAAACGCAAATGCAAGTCTAAAAAACAAAATAACAATTCAGAAAGCACAACAACAATTCAGAAAACATTATAACAAGTCAGAAAACACAATGACAAA